TACAGCATGCCTACATTATTCCTGTACCTACATTATATGCTTGAATACTAGAATGCAATTCTTAAATTCTACATAAAATTTGATTAATTTTTTTGGATAATGTCTTTCAACTGCAAAGTGTGTACGGATGTACAAGATATGTATCAAAATAGATCTGATATTTTAATATTATAATTTCTCACATTTTATAATAAATACAAAAATACTGAACTATAGAAAAAACTAATAAATCTGAGAAAACAATGCGTGAAATAATTGTGTCATACATTATTAACTGTATGAAACATACATTAGTACAATAAGTGCAACTACCCAAATATACTATACAGTAGTAGTAACATGCAAGACCATTAAAAATGATGTTTAAAAATAAAATGGTTACTGGACATACTTAAAAATTACCTCAAGAGCAAAAACACATCTAATCCTATTGGGTGCTGCAACACCTAACTGCCAAAAGCAACACAATTTACCAAATACCAACTGTGCGTGACAACTAAGAGCATGTACTCAGCACTCCAAGCATTGATGACAGGACGTTGTTATAAGCATTGGGTGTTCATTGCCGGTTTAAGTGATTCACTGCACACAACACGCCCTCAAAGTTGTGACAATAAGTACAACAGCACACAAAGCTGAATCTGAATTATAATGTTCAAACTCACAAGAAATTGTGAAAATAAAAGCAAAGTATTGTATGTACCATATTCAAGTATGTTGTTTGATGATATCATTTCTCCCAAACAATGTAAGCCATCAGTACAATTATTATATAATTTCATTCCATACAGCACTGTGATTATAGCTGTGTATTTATGTTGCGAATGTTTATATAACACTCTCTTGAAAGACGAAGAGTCAGGGGTAACATGATTGAAGTATAAATGGAATGAAAGGCATAAATAAAAATTTTAATATAAAAAAATTTAAACACGAGACAGTAGATTGCCCTTTTGCTCTATGCGAGGTTTCTGTCCACACTGAGCTAAGGTCCTAAGACACCTGTGTTATCATTCGACTCGTGTACTGCCCCAAACTCCCCACCTAATAATATCCTTTGAGCAGATCATGGCAAGCACAGATGCCTGGCCAGAGGAGGCCTCAGTTGGAAGACAAACCAACCCAAAGACACAGGGGTGCGAACCCCATATGGTGAAGGAAAGCTCCAAAACTGGGATACTCACTTGTCAGTCAATGCCCTTTCACCGCTTAGGGCTAGAAACAGGAGGTACTCCCACAGAAGTAAATACTGGTTTGGAAATAGAGTACTGTAGTCGATTTATGGAACACATCACCAGGTAACATTGACACAGAATTGCAAGATTATTTTAAGATTAAACACTTACACAGATATGATATAAATGAGCGAGTTGATATAAATAGGAGCTGCCTCATATTGGCCAATAGACTTTTAGCAGTTTCCTATTTTTGTGGTCCTGTTTTTTCCTATTTCATTACAACATAATGATGACAAAATCTAGAAGAAATGTAGACTGCCACACTTTTCAACAGATATATACTGTTCATAAGTTGTTGTTTTTTCTTCCGTCAGGGGTGAAAATTTAGATGACAGCCTCATTTTGAGGATTAACTGATTAAGGATTCAATGGAATTGGCATTTATTGGAATGTATTAAACAAGAATATATTTTTACATATATTTTAAATGGATCAAGGAATTAATATATAAACCAGGGTGACTTTGAGCATATTTTTTTGCCATACACTGAGGTTTTTAACCCTGTGCTTCAAGTTGAATATTGGACAAAATAAATTAAAAATAATTTACGATGCTTTGCAATTTGCAATAACCACTTAACTTGCAATTAAGTATGAACTTAACCCTTAAATTGCACAACGTGCCTGCAGGCTCACGTCTGGTTTGCGCAATGCGTCTCCGGGTATTTGTATTTTTCACGTTCCATTCAAAACTCATGCGGCTACATGGGGTTCACATCAGCTTCCTCAGGGCTCTTGTAAACTGACGCCATCTTTAAAAATATATATATAACTTGTATTATTTAGCCATGATAGTATTATAGAAGAGCCCGAGTGTGATAATGACTGGGTATAATGTTCAAATATCAGTGATTCAATGCTGTTCACGATGTTCACAAAGCTAGCCACAGCACCACAGCATTATTTCGTCCATCTAGGAATCTTCAAATACCTTCTTAGTTTCCTTTCCAAAATAGTGTGGTAAATTATTCATTTACAGGAATTAGTGACCAGGATTGTGATAATAGCAGGATTGTGGATATAATTAGCGTTGTGCGTAATATTGTGGAAGGAGGAAAAATTGGTGGGTGAGGGAGAGAATTGAGGTAGCCTCACTGTGTGTGTGTGTGGCAGCCACTCTTTATTTTGCTCACCATACTAGCTTAGTGGTTCGCTATGGGCAACACATATGTACATGGGTATATATAGTGTGTGTATATAGTGTAATAACAGCAACAGGAGAATGTTGAGAGGAGCTATTTTGGTGAGGGAGGTGACGTCGTAATCGTAGCGTCGTCTGCTGTCTGCTGTGTGGTTTTTCATGCAGTGTATGGTGGCAACTGTACTGTTTGGACACAATACCGGCTTACTTGCATAGTTCTGGTAAATAAAACATGTAGATAGGTATATATAACATGTGTAAATAGTGTAATAAGAACAATAACAGTATGGTGGGAGGATCAATGTTAGCGAGTAAGATGTTGGAGTGAGGGAGACTGGCTGGGTGTGGCTGCTCTCACTCGTGGTGTTCTGAATGTGTTGATGGTGAATGTATATAGTGTGTAAATAGATTGTATATATACATAAATTAGCATGATACATAGTAAATATGTGCAGCATATGTGTACACAAGTGTCATGCACGTAACACAGTGTCTTCGGACAGTACGGATGTTTTACTGCCATAATATAGTGTACGTGTTCATTATACATAGGATTAGCACGTAAAAACAAATAAAATGTATTTGGAACTGTGCACAAAAATGAACATTAATATATTCCCGGCAACTCGCGCGCCCCGCCCCGGGCGCCCTACTGGCCCCAGGAGCGTACGTCACGGGCGAACGGGGAATGATGACGTCACACGCCGACTTATGGACCCCATAGCAGCCAAAGCAAGCACAATTTCGATTTTTTTTTTACACACCCATACTGAGGGAAGGGTTTTTGACACTTTAAAAAATCAAAAGAATTTTTTCCAGATAATTTATTTCCTGCGCACTAGGGGGGGGGTGGTGTCATATTTGGAGGCAACGCAGTTAAGGGGTTATTGTAGTAGTGCTTTTATTATAAAATTAATGTTTAATGATTCTCCAATACCTCTGCAGGTTTCATGAAATGTTGATAATTAGAGTAGTGATCCAGTGTGATTTATCTTAATACATTATAAACACAGTATATTCTATTATATTTTTCTGTACTACAATACAACCATATACAATTCAAATTAAAAGAAAATTTAAATCTTAAGGTGATACTGGGAAGCCTCAAGATTTATGTATGGAATACATTAAAATTCTTAATACAGTAAGATAATGAGACAGATAGAAAGGGTAGCCAAGGTTTTGTCATGACCAGAAGGATATATTGGGTGTGATAATTACAGTACTTATGTCATCAGTGTATTTACCTAATATCCTGCATATAAAATAATAGTTTTAAATCAAAGTAAAAAAATTTCATCATAGGATATAGGCCTACTGTTGGCACAATCCCTCAATGTACAAAACTGGATATCTTTGGCAGTATTAATATAAAGGTTATCTTTAAGCTTATGTTTCAAGTCTATATGCATGGAATAAACTGCTTTTGTTTGATTAAATATAAAACCTCAAAACTTTTACCTGTATCTTAATGATCAATTACAATCACATGACTACATTTATATAAAATTATATATATACTGTATTATACATATATATATATATATAATATATATATATATATACATATATATATATATATATATTATATAGCATACTGGGAATGACTAAAATAGATTATGTTTATTATGCTAAAAATATAAATTTATACACATTTAGGAATCCGTTCATTCACTATGACTAGATAAAACATTTTTGTTCACTAGGTTAGGTCAATATTGAAGCACAACTACTGTACTTCGCCATATAGTATAATAAGAATTTTAAATGGCACTGTTTACACAAAATTAGGTTTTGTTATAGTATGAATCCAACAAAATTTGTAATATTGTATTGCTTATATTGTCTAATGAACCCTTAAAAACCAGCAATACCAAAATCTAAAGCGTACGGTACTCTGCTTTTTGTAGGGTGGCATTTCCAGACTTCCAGACTCTTCAGATACGTGATTTTACACCATGACAAAAATTTATTTTGTGCTCATCATATACCTGTATAATTATACATGACTAAAACCTACATGAGCATCACTTTGAATCATTATTTCTTAGGGCCACCAGCTAAAAAACAGCAGCTGTAATATGGTGCTAAATGTAACATGATAGGTAAGTGATGGCATCACTTGGCCTCATTGCTATTGTCATTTCCATCGTGCTTACTTATTTTCACTACACAAGCCACTTCTTGCATTCAAAATCATGATAAATGGAAATTTATTAAATACTTCAACAACTAGTTCATGACACACTTTCAAGAGTTTAAGAATCAAAATAATGTCAACAAGAACCTGTTAAGGTATTCTTAAGACATTCTAAAGATATTCTGTATACAAGTGGCTAATGCAATGGTGAACCTGGTGTCAACAAGTTCATAATGCAAGAATGCATGGACCAAATATGATATGAATACTGCATACAAATGGAAGAAAAATAAAATTATTAATTTAAAATTTGAGAGAGAAAGCTCTAATGGAAGTCAATAAAAACAAGCGCATATAAAACATCAAGCATGAAGGGTTCAAGTGCATTAAAGAACACTATGAATGACTATGTGACAAAATTTAAAATACTGTACAGTAATTTAAAATAGTGGGCTAAAATATCACAGACATAAAATTATTCTATTTTTGTTTCAAAGTTTTCCAGCTTCTGCATATACGTAATTCCATTTTTTTTTTTTTTTTGTGAAGGAAGGCAGACCTGAAGGTGGTTTAAATTGCAACTAATGATCGTCTCCTAACAGTCAGATACCATGCTAAGGTTTTAACTAAACTAAATAAAAATCTAACTAAATTTAAACAGATTCGTACGGACATTAGTAGTTTATGGCTGTCGGAGATCATGCCCATTATGACAAATGGTACCTACAGATCATCATGACCCTTAACTCAAGACATTCATATTAAAATAGAAATCTGTAGATAATTACTATAGTCAACCAAGGATTTTATGAACACTTGAGAGAGTTCCTGATTCTTTATTTGTGTATCAAGAGCAATATATAAAGTAGTGTTGTGCAGATCTACCTTGATTCCACAGCTCATCAAAATCATAATGGTTATTCATCTACCAAATAAAATTTATTAATGAAATACTACACTCTTCATGAAATATTAATTACAGTAGCAATACCTTTCTTTTAAGAACTCTTTCAGCCTTTGTTATTTTCAATCAGGGATACATGACTAAGCAATTTTTTGTTCTCAATCCACAATAGTTTCACTTCACGGTAAGCACTTTCTTTACTTACTTATCTTCTAATAATGTGAGAAATATTCTAGATGAAAACCATCCTCTTGACTACTTTCAGTTATGATACACAGCCTCTGATACCACAAGTTGAAGGATGTCATAGGCCATGTGACAGTTCTCTCTTCCCAGCATTTCTTCTACCCGAGTAACAGCCTCACCAACCACACATCCTTCCCGCTCCTGGGCTTCCTCCAAGTGATGATATGCTGCAAGCAATGGTCATGTTACAACTATCATGCAACCAAACCGTATTGCTTTCAATGATTAATTTGTGAAAAAGTAAAGCACTATTAAGTAGGTGTAGTGCATTTAATGCACAACAGATGTTACAACATATTTGCAGCAACATATAAAAATTTGCATGATCTCAACATCTAACACATAGGTTCAAACCCTTGCCAAAGCCCTTGTGGATTTGTTGATTTGATAAATCATGTTATTGTGATTGTGATTTCTGTGTGAATATTAAACATTGTTTTCCGTAGGCTTGTAAACTTAATGCTAATTTTGGTGCCTTACCTTAAGTTACATCATCTTTCTAATGATGCTTCTATTAATGATAATTAAGGCTGCATTCATAAAAATACCAAATATTAAAAGATCATTAATTTCTAACCTCTCATGAAAAGCTCCAGACCAAGTATATCCTCCAGCTTAGCTCTCTGCTCTTCAATCCACCCATACACTCCACCACCACCACCCGATACCACACCTCCATCATCATCTGAAAATTAACAACAGAATTAAAAAACTAATTTTACAAGATACAATATTTCCAGTTTTTAGTACTGTGTGTAAATTATGTTAGTGTTACTTCATATACATATCAACCAAAGTTTACATACCCAAGTGCCATAATTCTGATGAAGCACCAGTCCATAATGAAATGATGGATTTACAGTCCGACTCTCTGCGTTGTTCTCTTGAGCCAAGGAGGAGTTCCATCGATTGACGCAAGTTTGCAAAATCCTCACTCTCTTCATCCGATGCACTATTATTATTATCCTTATTACAATCATCTGTTAATATGCAAGTCTTGGCTCTAGCTCCAAGATGAGCATCACTTATTTCTGGGAGATCTTTGCTTTGGACATTAATATTGCTCTGGGAACACTGATGCTGCATACTGTTTTGTGGTACCGGTACTGATGTTGATCCTTCACTTAGCATGTAGTTTTCTCTTAGAGTTGGTTTTGATTCATCCTCCTGGCTCTTAAAAAAACTTTCTACATAGCTCTCCTCAGTTTCTTCACACTCTAATGTTTGTAAGCTGGATAAATACATTAAGTCAGCAATGAGGTTAGCATTATTGTTGGAACCAATACACAACCGTGTAGGTCTCGGTCTAGCTGGGCTACTTGTTACTATTGAACCTTCATAATCTATTCTCCGGTTATTCTTCATTTTCCAGTTTGGTAGTGTATCATCTATTTTCTGCATGTCCACTTCATCATTTTTACATTCTTTGCTTTGTAAAGTGCCTAGACTTGATGTACACAACTTACTATGATATAGCAAGTCCTCATTTTCATGCTGGTTCAAGTTTTGATCTTTAATCTCACCAGAACAATTCATATTAATGTGAATACTCCTTGGGGTTATTGGGCTGATGTCACGATACCTCTCCCTTGTGTCATTAACTGAGACTTGTTCTCTTGCTCTCTCAAAAACATCTAGTAAAATTGTGTGAGCAATGTCCTTAGCACAATGTATAGAATCTTCCATTTCATTTGAATAATCATCTGTAGTCATTGATATTTTATTAGCTTTTAAGGCTGGTAAGGAAATACCTTTCTCAAAGAATTGCATTTTGGGTGCCTTTTTCATCATAACTTCAGAATAAATTTCTTCATCTACACCTGATGATGCATAATCTGCTAAGTTATTTATTTCACTGGACTGGGTTTGGCATGGAGAAGTTTGATCACATTTTTCCAAAGAATAATTAAGCACGCTTTCCACATCACTAGCTTCATTATCAGCTGTAATGCAAGTGAAATCTGTCGTCTGTGTACCTAAACCACTATCACTTGATACATTATTAAGGCAGATTGATGGTGCATCAGTTTTACTATTTATAATACTCAAATTTATTTCTGCATTATTTAAATCATTATTGTTACTATTTGCAATGGATGTACATAGCTCCGTCCCTTGAACGTTAGTTTGTACAAAATCAAAGCCTGGCTCAACTTTTTCTTCTATAACAGGTACCAAAGAGTCATTATCCTGAATAATTACCGATATCTGTGTTCCTTCAAAAGACTGATCATCTTTAGTTCTCAATTTGTCATCAGTATCATTACCTTGATCAATCCCTGGAAATTCCTTCAAGACGAGTCTCTCTCTTTTTAGAACTTCAACAAATCCCTCACTTCCAGTTGTTTCATGCAATAACAAATTGTCTTTGTCCAATTTCCTGCTCATTTCATTGTTTTCTCTTACTCTGTTAGTAGGTTCTGAAGAAGCTAAATCAGGCTTATAGTTTTTCATAGAACTATTAGTTTTACTGTATTCTTTGATTCCAAATTTCTTTGTATCCAACACAACTGAACAATTTTCTTTTGATTCACTATCACCGGTGGACTTTTCACAAATCTCGGTAATTTCAAGTGTACCTTTTTCTACAGCTTCAGTACTTTCCAAGTTTACATCCTGTCGGCAAGGCAGTTTTTGCAACATTCCAGTAAGTCCACACTTACTTTTCTTTTGTTTTGTAACTGGTGTATTCCAGACCTTAGTTATACCTAATAATGAATCGGACATCTTCCGTTTCAACTTATCTTCTCCCGATCTGGAAACACCATCTGCAATGACATATTTTTTCTTTGGTCGTGGTGACATATGTAAACGCAACATTCCAAGCAAGCCACCTTTTGCTTTTTTATGTGAATTATTACTTGGCTCACTAGGAATTATATAAGTTATATCAGCCATATTGTCCTCAACTGTAAAAGTTTCATCTAAAGGTTTCACAGTGTCATCAGCTGATGGGGGAATAGTTTCTATTGCCTCCATACTTTGAATTTTCTCACCTGTTAAAGTTGTTGACAGTTGATTTCCAGCTCTGTTGTCTTTATTTTCTACAGTATAATTATTAGTGTTTGGACGTTCTTCATTTCCGACTTCAAGAATCAATGTTTTATCCAAATCAATGTTTTCAACACAGCTCATATCACTTATCTGTGCTCCACTACATGCTGTCTCTACAAAATTTGGTCTGCAGAGCTCTTCGTTGGTATAGTTTGGCATTTTGTGGTTATTATTACAAGCTTCCTGATTTCCTATTTCAAATGTTATATTTAATGAGGATGGCGTTTTTATTAAATGATTGTTCTCTACTGAAGAAGTCTTGTTACTTATAATTATAGCATTAGGAAAAGAATCTGAGATGCAATTACTTTTATAATCTTTACAGTCACCAACACATTCCTTTAAAGTAACAGTGAAAGTTGAATTCAATACTGCCGATTTGTTTGGGTTGACAGAACATTTACTGTTAGAGATGCCCATTTCATTATTTAATGCTTCCTTGGCATCCACTTCACATTCACATTTCTTGACAGTTTTTTGAAACACTGGACTTTCTATAATCTTGGCTTCAGAAAGCACATTGATAATATCCTTACAGTTCTTTATCCATTGCTTACGTTCCCCTACTTCCTTATACACAACTACTAGGTCTGATGAGGAAGTAGATTCCATTTTCGACCCAGTAGATTCTAATGGAGAGTTTTCAAGACCAGATGTAATGGCACTTCCCCAGTGTGAACGTTTGGTTGGAGTTACACAGTGAGAGTTTGGCAAGCTATAAGAAGTACCTGTGCTATGTTTATCTGTGGTCCCTTCATTAATATCAATTGAAGTGACATTTGTTGATAATTCTGAAATATTTGGACTCGATGTAACAGATCCCTTACTTGTAATTTCATACAGATCGACATCACTGCTCTCTGGTTTACATTTGCAAACATTTAGTTGGGAAAATTGGTATTTCTTTTCAAAAGTCATTTCATCTATAGTTTCAATGAGCCCATTAATCAAGGAATTACTTTTCAAGGTAATTTGATTATGTTGCTTACTTTGATTTTGTGCAAGATTTCCAGACAAGTTTCCTACTTTTACCCATTCTTCAACTGCATTAGATAGCATCTCATTTGGAATTTGTTCTACACATCTCTCCCTAAAATCTGGAGGCATTATGCATTCTCTTATCTGATGCTTTGGTTTTGTTGATCCAGCACTACAAATTTCATCATCAGGCCCCCTATATTCAGTTTTATTCATCAGCACATTTAACGGAGATTCATTTGCAGATGTCGTACTAACATTTGCACATGTGCTATAAACTGTCTCGACTATACTTTTGGAACCAGCCAAGTGAATTTTACTCTCGTCTGGAAACTTAGAACTAATAGAACCTTTATTAAGCTCCAAATCTTGCTCTCCTCCTATATTGTAGTTTACATTACATTTGATCATATTTCCAAGAAATTCCAATCCTTCTTCATCTTTTGCAGTTGTAGACTCAAGCTTCTCTCTCTGATATGCCCACTGGCGCCGCTCTAAGACCATTTGATTCATCTTCTCAGAGCGTTCTTGCAACAATTTCTTAATTTTCTCATGTATTAACGCCCTCACTTTTTCTGCTGGTAAAACAGGCAAGTCATCATCATCATCATCATCACTGCCATTGACACCATGCTGTTTGAGCGTTTTGTTTGCCAACTCTTTAACGTCCTTTCTATTTTTCTCTTGCAGCTGTTCATCGGGTGAAATGTTATCCAGAAATTGATCCACTTGGCTTTGATCATTGTGCAAATGCAGAACATCTTTATTTTCCATTTTTCTACTTAACTTGGATAATTTGCAAGCACAAAGATCCCTACTAACCCAACACATGTCATTTTGTATTTTATTTTCTTTCTCATCAACCTTGGCTACAGACTTAAATCTAGTCGGAATACCACTGTCAAATGTGGCAGATTCACTCTCTGATGTATCTGGTGGCAGCAGTGCCTCTGCAAGCTTTCGGTCATTGTATGCAGCTTGTAATTTCTTTGATAAAAACTCATCAACAAGCCAGCCTTCAGCTCCAGGTGAATTATTGGATTCGTGATTTTTTAAGTTACATGCTTTCTTATCAATTTCAATTTTGTTTTGATACAAACCATTCTTCTTAATCCCAGCCCTATCTAACATCAATTTTAATTTCACAGGTGAGGGTGCCTTCTTTTTAACATAATGGTTCTGGGGTTTTGAATTACTTTGTTTGAGCGGAAGAGGTACTGACTTAGATCTTCTTTGGGATCTGCCATCATTATTTTCCTGTGGCTTGGCTTTAACTTTATCCTTCACTAAAAGACTATTCTCACTTTGGAATTTCTTCCGATGTTCTTGAGTAAGTTTTGGTGCCCTAACATAGGGAACTCCAGATGACTTCTTTCCTGAAACAGCTTGTTTATAAACTTTTGAGGTACATTTTGTTGGAGACCTTTGTGTAACCCTTTTACTGAAGGACTGACTCACTCCATATTTAACCGAGGGATCAGTTATATCACTTGGGCGTTTCATTACTGGGACATTACGTGCCGAGGCTGGCAAAGCACACTTACGCTTCATCAAAGAGGCCATCAATTCTTCTTCTTCACATCCAGAAATAAAGCGAGGAACTTTTTTCAAAATAAATGTTTTACGGAGGATCACAGATATAGATGGTCTAACTTGTGGCTCTCGCTGAAATATTTGTCCAAGTAGCAAACGAAGATCTCTGCTATAACGGGTAGAAACAGGTTGGTATATGCCTTTAACTATTTTGAGAATGAGTGCCTTCATATTATTAGCCTCAAATGCATGTTTAAGTGTTATCATCTCATACAAAACACATCCTAAAGCCCAAATATCACTTTTATTGTTGTATGGTTTATTTTCACACATTTCTGGTGATAAATAATATGGTGTGCCAATGCAAGTTCTTGCCAGATCTGAAGTACTATTCAAAACTTTGGCAATGCCAAAGTCTCCAAGCCGAATCTTGCCATCATCTGTCAGAAAAATGTTTTGTGATTTGATATCACGATGGAGTATTTTCCGATCGTGTATGTATTTTACGGCCAGACAAAGTTGTACAAACCAATCAAGAATTCTGTCTTCAGGAAAAAGGACACCTTTTCTACTGGAAATAATGGTATGAAGGTCTCCACCACCACAATAGTCCATGGCTATCATTAAACGACCATCTTCTTCACAGGAGGCTCGGAACTGAGTGATATATGGATGTGACAAGCTTGACAAGACCTGTAACCATAATAGGATATTATAATTAGAAGTTTACTTTGTTGTATATATTTATTTATTTATATACATGATATATAAATTACATATAAATATACAGTACTTATACTGTACACGAAAATGTACAACGCAAACAAAAATGAAACACGAAATACTCGAGTGCTTTTGTGACTCTAACATATCTCATACAGCATACTGTACTCACCTAGTTGTGTTTGCGGGGGTTGAGCTCTGGCTCTTTGGTCCCAATAAATATATATGTATATAAATGTACTTGTGTGTATAAATATTTGCATACACACAATGAAAACACAATGTGATATATTAATGAGAAAGTTTTTTGGAGTAGAGTGGTGTCGGGAAAATCCCAGAATACTGTTTCGATCCCACTATCTTTCTCCAAAGATTTTCTCATACTGTATTTGCAGATTTTGCAATAATAATTAGTAATTTTATCAATAATATTTAAAATAATTTTACAAGACAATAATTAGTACTAATGAAGTAATTTTTTTAAGTCAGAATTGTGAATTTAGAGAACGTATTAATTTAAAAAGGACTCCTTATTGAAGGATACAGTAATGGTAATTGGGGAAGAAAAGTTGCATTTATGGAAGCAGCAGCTAGCCAAGTCTGAAAAACAGTATTCTGCCAGACTGAAGGGACAGCAGGTATAGCAGGGTACACAAAGGAAAATCCCTTCATGAATTCTATCAGCAAGTTTTGGGGAGAGAAAACAAATAATTTTGGAAGAGAAAAACGGTAGAAAATGCTAGATCAAATCTAGACGCCACTTAATGTAAATAATCTGGCAAGGAAACTCAACTGAGCAAGGAAATTTGTAACAAATCTGATGTTGATCACAATGGGGATAGATAAATATAAGGCAGAAATTCAACTAACCTTTGCTCAAGTGTCCAGAGAAAATGAATTAATCTACAAAGCCTAAGTGAGTTAATATAAACAAGAAATTGGTAATAAAAAATAATAGTACAGCACAGTAAAGATTGAGTCGAGCCATAATAATTTGGGGATATAGAGAAAAGAAAATAGCATCAAACATAGAAAGAGCCACAGAATAAAAAACTCAACAGAAAGCTTCAGGTGTAGTCATAAGTCTCACAAATAAGAAATATATCACTACAAAATAATTAGTAGGTATGAAAAATGGAAGAATCACTGCTTTGAGGTGACTAAATGGAGCAAAACAGTACTGGGCATGAGACTGCACGCCATAAAGAGCCTCCATGACAAAGGTGACAGTTTAAACCATTAAAATACAGTGGAACCTCTATTAACGAGTGGCTCTATTAACGAGTTTTTCCAGTAACGAGCAAGCCACTCGCAGCAAATTTGTCTCTATTGACAAGCTCGCCTCTATTAACGAGTGAAACCACATGGCGCTTCCTAGCGTCTCGCGGGTTCTCGCAAATTCTCGGACGCCTCCGACGCCAGTGTTGTTGTTGTATCTCACACGACAAGCATCCCTCTGGATATATTTGAGCTTTACTTTGGGTTTTTAGTGGTTTTGCGACTACAATTTGTAACACACGATGTCTCCAAAGAAGCTGCTTGCTAAAGATAGTGTTGTCAAGAGGAAGAAAGACACAATTACTGTGGATTTAAAGAAGGAAATTATAGCAAAGCATGAGTGTGGTGTCTGTGTGATTGATCTCACAAGGAAGTATGGCAGGTCCTCATCAACAATTTACACCATTAGTAAGGGAATGAGGAGGTAAGGGAGGATGCTGCCTCTTCCACTGAGATCAGGGAAGTGTTTGGAAAGTTTGAAAAGGTGAACGCATTCTTGGAAAAGCTGCCCTGATAAAGCAGTGAGAACCCGGTGTGTGAAAATGTTTAATTAATTTATCACTTTGTGATAACACTTTATGAAAGTGTTATCACTTTCGCAGGTATATGTCGCTTGAACGTGGCACTCTTTTCTCTTGAATGCACCCAAACACCGCGCTCAAGTATCATTTGAGCAAATATTTCTATAAAATCCAATTCTTATCCGATCGACTTGGGGATTGTATACATGTTTGCCATGAAATTTCCGTTTTCTTTAATAACCACATTGCCTATTTGAGAAAACGGCATTGTATTGTATCTTCGTGGTAAGACTATTATATTGTTGACACAACGAGTGTAATCAACATAGTTTTTTATTTGGTGCTGGTCTAACGCATCCTTTTGTGACATTTGAAATGAAATTTGGGTGAAATTCCCAAGAAGAGAGAGTCCGCCTGACTCAGAGGTGGATTCTCCTTCCACACCATAACCCCTCTCATCCTTCCCACCTCCCCATCGTCTCCCTCAAGCCAGCAACTACTCTTCATAAGGTAAAGTAAATATTAAAACACTACAACAAAACATTTATATTTACATGTGCAATATTATATTTACATAAAAAAAAGTCATACAAGTATGGATGTTTTTGGGAGTGGAACGGATTAAATTTATTTCCTTTATTTTAAATGGGGAAATTTGTTTCCAAAGACGAGTTTTCCAGGTAACGAGCTCGGTGCCAGAACGGATTAAACTCGTTAATAGAGGTTCCACTGTACATCCAAATGCAAAGATCAGATGATAGAATTGAATCCTCCAGATAAGGACAGGGACAATGAACAAGAAGGGTTGGAAAGCAGGGATTAACCAGCCACAGATGAGCCAGCAGAATGAATTGACCAGTAAAGGTTTCCTATGTGACCAGCAAAGAGAGGAGCTGGACTAGAGAAAAGAGATAAAGGAAATTTCCCCAATTCCAGTACAGCAAGAATCACCAACTTCAAGTACCTCCCAATTGGAAAAACCAGTGTTGAATATTATGAAATGCAACTTTCTGGTAAGGCCTCAGTGACTCCTTCAAGCTATCTTGCAGAGATGGTGTCCCACCTTTGTGTCACATCAGCCATGAGTCCTGTATGGACTACCAGGGACCATAGCCAGAACCTCACAGCCCCCCAACCCCCTCTCAGAGGCAAAGGAAGCAGGGAATTGTTACAATCACCTTCATTAAGAAAACTAAAGAAGTGTATCAAAAGCTTTTTTGGTAGTCTAGGAAGATGCAGTCTAACCATCCTTCCTTCTCTTGTCATATTTTGGTGACCATGCCATAGAATTCAGTTAAGTTTCTTGAGCACAACTTTCCCTCTCAGAAGCCAAGTTGTGCCTCTTTTAGAAGATTTACTCACCAAATGTTCTACAATCCTTTTTCTGAAGACTTTTTCTAGTATTTTACATGGAATCCATGTTAATGGCATTACTCTATAGTTTAGTGATTTATAGCCGTCCTCCTTTCTTGAATATTGCAACGACACTTGTCTTTTTCCAAGATTTGTGGTAGCTCTCCCATCTCTAATGTTACCCATTAACAATACTGTAGTTAATGAGTAACAAGATCCCTGCAGCTTCTTTCAGTAACCATGGTGATATCTGGGTCTAGTCCTACTGCTTTTGTTTCATCCAGTTCCTCCTGATGTGTCTATACCTCTTCTACATTAACTTCATTCTGTCTAGTGTTATTTTTTCCCATCTGTTTTCACCCCCCCTTGGAAACCAATCAGAGTCTAGGTTGTAGACAAAGCCAAAACTACAGGCACAGACACAGAAGACTAAAAAAGAAAAAAAAGTAAAGAGAGCTAGGAAACTCCATACTGTTGCCACAACAAAAGATGCAGGTGGGACACCAACCACTCAGCCACCTGCACACCACACAAATGGAGGTAAACTTGCACCAGGTACTCCAGACATATATATATATATTAGCAGAGAAGGGCAAACTAGCAAGATATGTCAATGTGTCTTTCTGCTGTAGAGGCAGAGCTATGGGAAAAAATCCAAGCTTCAGAAACGGGGCCAAAAGAGCTGGAAACCATGACTGAGCCAGGAGGACTGCCTTGCCTGAGGACATGTATATCTCTAGCCTTGACAACATCCAGAACAACAACTAAACCTGGGAAGGCAGAGGGGAGCGACAAAAGGACCAACACTTTAACCAGTCCAGCCAAAATAACTACCATGAGACCCATGCAATCGGGAAATGAAACTATGCATGAGGGGAAGCTGCCAATTCCACGCTGATGCGAAGGCCACCTCAGTGCAGCCGAATGCCTCATAGAGCCAATAGAAGAATGCATCATCAATGGTACACTACGTGAAAATGGAATGGAAACAAGATGAACCATCCTTGTGAATGTTGGACATGTCTAGCATGTGAACCATATGGAGAACTACACCTTGAGAAGCCATAAGCCAAGCTGCATGAAGAATTAAGCTTTAAAAGGGGAAGGATTGAAGTGACCTCCCCATTCATTGTTTGGGTGGGAGCATGGAGCTTCCAGGGTACCATCTATTGGTAGCTATTATCACTAGGGGGTTCAAGCTAGTTTTGAATGAATCACTTTGGTTTGAATGAAACGTTTGTGGAGTCATTTGGCTGTTTTGGTGCTTTGTTTTCTGTGACCTTTGCAGTTGTTTGTATTGCTTCACATACTTTCAGGAAGTTTTCTCAGTGAGGTGTGATTGTAACAATCCCTTGCTCCCTGTGCCTTTGTGAGAGGGGGAAAGGGGGGCCAGATTCTGGCTCTATTCCCCAGGAGGCCTTACAGGACTCTTATGGCTGTGCTTAGTAGTGGGAACTGAGATGGGTTCAGGGAGCCAAGAGGCTCCTCAGAAAAGTGAAATAATATAGGATTCCACACCAAGGCAAAGAGTTTCACCTGAGGGCAACCAAACGTCTCTCAAATTCTTCGATATCAGATGGAACTGGAAGAGGACATTCACTAGAACTTTGGACTCTTCTCAAATGTAAAGTGCATTGTGAACTAAACCCAAAGAATCTATAAACGAGTCTATCTGGAACATCTACCCTCATAGGAAAAAAAAGCAACAGAAGTGACCTTCCATTGACTACAATGCTTCCCCTCACCTCAATGAGCACACCAGATTTTGATCTTTGTGTTTGGAAAGCTTACACATGTCCAAGTCTTGTAGTTTTGTGAATGTCACTGTGGCACTAGAGCCTATGCATCAGGTAGTTAGTAAGGGCCAGCACAAAGATAAATAAGAAATCAGAAAGATCAAAGATAAGACAACTGTACTGGTACAGGTATTCCAGAAATGCTTACCTTGACTTCTCGCCTAGCTTCTTCAATTTCCTTGGGCGACATATGAGAGATATTAATTTCCTTAATAACACACTTTGTATCTGAGGGAATGTGAAGAGCTAGATGTGCAGAGCCATAGGATCCTAACCCTAGCTGGTGAAGAATCCTGTAGTCTTCCATGTTCAATCTGAAAAATGAAGATATTGATTATTCGTAAATGAAGATGTCCGAAAATCATAAATATAAGAACAACTTAAGAATAACGAAAACTGCAGAAGGCCTATTGGCTCATATGAGGCAGCTCCTATTTACTCTTTCATATACTGTATGTTTAACCTGAACACTCCGGCAATCCCAGATCTATTATTTTACCATGTAATTTAGCATTAAAACACCCGGTGTTATTCTTCAGCTAAATCTTAGTCTTGTTAGGCCCCATCTAGACTATACAGTTCAGTTTGATGCCATACTACATAATGGACATAAATACACTAGAATGCATTCAGCATAGGATGACAAAGTTAATTTTGCAAATTAGAAACCTTCCATGTTAAGAGATTGAAAAAGCTTAATTTACATTATCTAGAATGGCAAAGCATTACAAAATACAAATATTTATTCAGGTAAAGTACATACATACAAGGCGAGATACAAAAAGTTGATGGATTTATAGATAGAGCTGGTACATACAATGCCTAAAGCCACTATTACGCAAAGCGTTTCGGCCAGGAAAAACACTAAGACTAAAACTTAATACTAATCGAGATTAAAGTATAAATTGTGTTGAGAAAAAATAAAAAAAATGAAAAAAGGGGGGAAACATGACAGAAAAAAGCAAAAATACAATTTGGTCAACAAACAGCATTGTTTAAAATAGTAGACATGGGTTGACATTTTGGGGGTGAGGTAGGTTACATGGGGTTAATTAGGTAGTACTTAGTTTTTATCTTAAACTGGTTGGGAGAGGTTAAACTGGTTATGTCTTTAACATAATTGGGAAGGTCATTCCACATTCTAGGTCCCTTGATTTGTAAAGCATTTCTAGTTTGATTAAGTCGTACTCTTGGAATATCAAATAGGTATTTGTTTCTGGTGTGGTGCTCATGGGATCTGTTACAACCTTCTAGGAAGCTTTTAAGGTAAGGATTGACATTACAGTTCAGCATTTTATATATATAAAATACACATGAGAGGATGTGCAGTGACTTAATATCTAACATATTCAGAGATTTGAGTAAGGGTACCGAGTGATGTCTGGGGCCAGAGTTAGATATTGTCCTAATAGCAGCTTTGTGTGGAGTAATTAGAGGATGTAAATGATTTTGGGTAGTAGAACCCCAAGCACAAATACCATAGTTGAGATATGGATAGATGAGAGAGTAATAGAGTGTCACCAGGGCAGGGCGAGGTACATATCTGATCTTAGGAAAATGCCAACAGTTTTTGAAACTTTTTTTTATATATTTAGAATGTGTCCCTGGAAATTCAGTTTGTGGTCAATGAGAACGCCAAGGAATTTGCCATCTACTTTGTTACAAATTTGGGTATTGTTAATCCTGAGATTTATTTGATTTGAGGATTTATTGCCAAACAAAATATAGAAAGTTTTGTCAATATTGAGGGCGAGTTTGGTGGCAGTTAGCCAGTGATGGACTTTATTTAGCTCAGTATTCACTGTGACATTTAGAGCAAAGGGGTCAGGACTGGAGTAAATGAAGGTCGTGTTGTCAGCAAACAGAATTGGTTCGAGATGTTGGGAGGCATTTGGAAGGTCATTAATGTAGATGAGAAAGAGGAGAGGGCCAAGTATGCTGCCCTGGGGGAACACCAGTGTTGATGGGTAGGGTTATCTGGAGGTTATCTGGAGATGATTTCGGGGCTTTAGTGTCCCCGCGGCCCGGTCCTCGACCAGGCCTCCACCCCCAGGAAGCAGCCCATGACAGCTGACTAACACCCAGGTACCTATTTTACTGCTAGGTAACAGGGGCATAGGGTGAAAGAAACTTTGCCCATTGTTTCTCGCCGGCGCCTGGGATCGAACCCAGGATCACAAGTCCAGCGTGCTGTCTGCTCGGCCGACCGGCTCCCACAGGGTGGGAGAAATTGAATTATTCACAGAAACATACTGGAGCCTGTCAGTAAGGTAAGACTTAAGGTATTGCAGGGTACCTCTGACTCCATAATGTTGTAATTTAAGAAGAAGGTTTTGGTGGTTGACAGAGTCAAAAGCTTTACGCAGGTTCACAAATAACCCAACAGGGAACTCATTTTTATCAAGAGCTGCATGTATCAAGTTAATCATACTAATAAGTGCATCGTTAGTGCTTTTTTGGGGTCTGAAGCCATATTGACAAGAGCTAAGTATATTGAGTTTGGCTAGATAAGAGTAAAGCTGCTTGTAGATTAGTTTTTCAAATATTTTTGACAAGTTTGGCAGAATTGATATAAGTCTGAAGTTGTTAACATCAGTGGGATCCCCACATTTGTGGACAGGGGTTACTCTCTCTTTTTTTTAGAATATCTGGAAAGGTTTGGAGTTCAAGTGATTTGTTGAAGAGCAATGCAATGACAGGAGCTAAAGATCTGGAGGTGGTGACATTACAGGTGACATGACTGAAATGTACAAGTGGATGAATGTGTATAACAAGGGGGATATTAATAACATTTTAAATTTATCAACACAAAACAATGGATATAAATTGGATAAGTTTAGATTCAGGAAAGACCTGGGTAAATAGTGTTTGACCAAACCACACACTAGAAAGTGAAGAGACGACTATGTTTCGGTCATCGTTTAAAAACACATCGACTTGATAATGGTCCAGGACGGACCGAAACGTCGTTGTCTCTTCACTTTCCAGTATGTGGTTTGGTCAACATTTTTTCAGCCACGTTATTGTGACTCCTCATCTGGGTAAATAGTGGTTTGGAAACAAAGATTACACTCTTTCCAATTTTAATCCCTCCCTTAACAGGCCAAACTGATTTGTTGTTGTTGCTGTTTTAGATTCAGCTACTCGGAACAAATTTCCAAGTAGCACGGACTGTGGTGAGTCCATAGTGGACTTATCTGGCACAGGAGTGGGGCTGTATGTGACCAAACTGAACCACATAACCTAAATGGGGCCTAACAAGGCAAAATAAAGCTGAAGATTAATATTTGATGTCTTTGTTAATGCTTCAAGAAGTAATTCCCAGTATCCTGTCCACATCAAGCCTAGTGACTGTCAGGTGAATTTAAAGACACAAAAAATATTAGTAGTTTCAAATTACAGCAAGTAATGACGTAGCAAATCATATTCCACCACAGTGACAACTATATTAAAGTGTAAAGTAAAATTAGTTTAAATTGTTAAATTAGTTTGAAATTGTTATTATTTTAAATGATTATTACTGTATTATTGTACTGCTCACTAACCCCCAGGCACCTGTCTACTGGTAGGTGACCAGGCTAGTAAGGAACATGCCCAAACATCCCACTCTGCTCGGGCATGAAACTTCAGGACTAATTAGATGCAAGCCGAATACTCTTAAGCATTCTGCTGCAGGTCAATACAAACAAATCTCGTACATTTAAAATATAAAGTTCTGCATTCATGTAATGCCATTTAGTTACCTTGTGTGTTCCGTCTGTAAATCCATGGCTACCTGCTAGTTACAAGGATTGGAGACAAGCATCTACAACACGCCTCTTAGGCAACAGGTAGTGAAGTTTCATCACTGGCGTCAGCGTCGCGTCTCACAAGTTGCACTGCCTCCTCCTTCTCTATAGCAGGTGGAGACTGTGTCCACTCCCTCCTGTTGCTATTGTCTTCTGCTCTTGAAAAACAAATGTTGTAGCCATCAATGTGTTCGTTTGTGATCACTTTGCTTATTTTTTATATAAGTAAACTAGTTATATTTTTGCATTGGTTTAAGTATGTGTAAAATTTAGCTAACTAATTACTTCTTTAGCAAATCCTATTATTTATTAAAAATAAATTATGTAAAAAAAATGACAAATATTTACGCCAACAAACTTAGTGTCAGGGATTGAGACACAGTATCTAACTTATATCCAAATCACAAACTAGTGATAATATATTATTTTTTTTTAAGAAAATTGGAATATATAGAAACAATTACTATTATTATGTTTAAAAAACTTATATTTTAGCATTTAATATGAATAAAAGTCCTGCAAAAGAACAAATGTATTCGAATAATTGCTTGTACACAAGGTGTATATTACCGATACACTTTGTAAACATTAGAAGATTTGATCGTCGCAGCGAACACTTCCAGCGAACATTTCCAGCTCTGCAAACTATTTAATAAATTTAGTCGGGGACAGAAAGCCTGTGTGTGTATACATACAGGCTTATATAATATAGACTTGCATTGAGATCTTCCCAAGGTCGAACTACTGACCCTTCCCGCGATGCAACCCCATAACAGTTGCCTAGCTCCCGGGTATCTAATTACTGCTAGGAGAACAGAAGCATCGGATGAAAAGATACATCCATGAGAGTTTAGAAGCTGAGTTGAACCATCTATAGGGTCAGTGCCGGAAGAAATTACATGAAATTTATTACATGAAATTTGAAAGTCTTGGCCCTGTTGTGGTAAGGAAGAGAGAGTTCCTGTGCGACGCCTGTTATACATAAGTACTAACGAGAGATCACTTATCGATTATAATACACCTGTCATTTTGTTGGTAAATGTTGACTAAACATGTTGGAGAAGGTGCAAATCAATGACACGTAAATAATTTTAGGATGGCCAAGAAATGCTATAATTGAGATAAGGAGGCTGGAATTGAACTTACATACTGCCCGAAACGCTGCGCGTGCTAGTGGCTTTACAAGACTGTAATTACCATAATTGTATCCTCACATTCCTTATGTACATTCTTGTATATGCATAAATAAAATAAATAAAAATACTGAATTAAGCTTCTGTAAATGTAACCTTGGTGATCAGACTATTGAGAGGTGGGGGAGGTATTAAATTAATTAACACATTTCACAATGTGGGCAGAAATAATCAATGCATTTTAAGGTATAACAAGAGTGGATATATGAGAACTTTAATTTATAGTGTTGCAAAATATGATGTAGTGCAGGAATGTATTACATTGCCTAAGAAACCATTAACACCACCATAGAAGGAATGTAACGCAGAGGTGGTGATTGTTTTCCTGCAAAAGAAAAGGAGTATGTAAGAGACAGGACAGTTAAAGGTTAATATATAATTGTATAATTTTAAAAATACTTAATTTAAACACTTCATGTTTATTGTGAAGGCTCGGTAGGTAAAGACAGAGAGGCACGACGTGGAGTGTTGATCAGGACATTGCATATATATTGTTCACGTGACTTTACCTGAGAGCCACTAACACTAGTGGCCTCGACGAGGACAGGAAGCCGGCGGCTTGTCGAAGGTCCTCCCATTTGCTTTGATGAGCTTTTTCATCTTTACTTTAAAAGTTAACAAAGTTTTGGCATTTAGGACATCATTGTTATTGGACCTCGCTTATTAACTGACATTGTCTCTTCAACGCAGGCTGTAAATTATGTTATTTATTTATTAATATATATACAAGAAGGTACATTGGGTTTGTGAGAGAATGTAGCATTGATGTTTTTACATTCTTGTAGTATGCCGCAAGCTCACATACCATTACTATGTTGTATGTGATAGTGATGGTATGTAAATTGCCTGAACAATATAAAGAAAAAGAAGTTTGTAGTGTACTCACCATACTGTATGAATGTGTGATAATGGTACGGTACAGACAATTCTTACGAAGTTCAAACATTTTGAACAAAGAATGTAATATTAACATTATTTTAAAATATTTTGTAATGTGACAATCATTGAATTAATGTAAATGTATTTGTGATGTAAAATATGATTATTTTTTATGTAGTTATGAAAATGTTATCCCCTTAAGGGACTTATTATAAGCTACTTTTGTGATGCATTTTGTTATTTCAAGTAGCTCAAATATACTTGAACTTGAATTGAACCTCTAATACTTACCGTAAATATTTCTTGCGAATATTTCCAGCTAACACTTACTGTGAACATTAAGAAATTCCCGTTGTCGGGGACATAAAGCCTGAACTTATATAAGCTTATCGAGGTTCCTCTAAGTCAACTATTTACCTTCCAAAGGGATGCAACTTATAACAGTTTCCTAACTTACGTGTAATACCCACATACTCTAAGGTGAACAGAAACATTAGGTGACAGCAAACGTGCCCAACCACAGACTGGTGCTTGCTGGCTAGTGTTTGCTAGCGAGTGTTTGATGGCCAATGTTTGACGTCGGTTCTCACTCAACCGACGGCGTCCCGGGCTCTCCTTCACATAATTCTAAGATTGACTTGCTCTATCAGACATGGCGGTAGAGTATAATAATTACGTACACAGCTACGGGATATATTATCTGTGTAATTAATTAATTAATTATCTATCTGAATTATATATACACCGAGAGGTGTACCCGGCTTCGTGGTAGATTTGATTATTATTATTATTATTATTATTATTATTATTATTATTATTATTATTATTATTATTATTATTATTATTATTATTATTATGCCTAGAAGGGGTACCACCTCTGGTTCAAGTGTAGGGACCCATAGTCTCGGAGAAGAAAATAGAGTACTCAGAGAAGACCTTGTAACGGTTCTATTGTTACGTAAAGTATGGTGACAAATAAACACAGACACTAAGATACAATATATATATTTGGTCGAATATACAGAAGTACACAGGTGATACTTTGGTGTGAGTTGAGCGCACTGAGCGTCGGTACAGTATCTCGCAAGTGTCTGCTCTAGACCACACTTGAAAGTAGACTATGGTTAATGTTTGCTATCCTGCTGCTTATATGCCCGGGCAACGCCTCACCTCATTCATCTCCAAAGGTTGACAGGAATATTAACAAAGCATTTGGAGCGAGTATATTATTGGGATAATCTACTCGCTACAGAACTCCCCCTCCCAGGGGATGAAAGGAAAAATACTTGATCAAGGAACTTAGCTGGTCGGTGAATTGTACGCCCTGCTCGCGTCACATAACCATCAAAGTTAACTTCCTCCTCTTCGCTGATGTCATCTAACTGGGGTCGTAGGGTGGGAGGTTGCACAGGATCGTCCGTCGTCGTAGGATCAGGTTGTGGTGCGGCTGGTAACTGGGGTTGTAGGGTGGGAGGTCGTACAGGATCATCCGTTGTCGTAGGTGGCGGCGCTGCTGGTAACTGTGGTCGAAAAGTGAACTGCGTAGTCGGCGGATGTGTCTCTGGATTTAGCAGTGTCGCAGACGTTTGAGACGAAGCCTGGAGCAGAGCAGAGAGCTGAGTGAGGCCGGAGTCGTGGAGCTCTATGTGGGAGAGCGTGGCGGCTCGATTGAGAATTGTGAGTGTCTAAACTCGGGGAGCGAGAGCGTGGCAGCTCGATTGAGAATTGTGAGTGTCTAAACTCGGGGAGCGAGAGCGTGGCGGCTCGATGCGGTCGTAGTCTGCTGTCTGCTCTGTGTCGAAGCTGTAGCGTCTTGGGTTGATTAGGACTGTACACGCCGAGTACTACATTGTTGACTGTGGAAATTGTAGTCTGGTACCAAAAGATGTAGGCAGTGTGTGGACAAGCTCGGTGTAGCAGGAGAGAAGAAGGTGCATAATTGTTGCGTCCTTGGGTCGCTGGTGGAGCATTTAGATCCGGGGCGGATGGGCTCGGGCACCAGGACATTAGGAGGTAATGTAGGCACGTAGTTAGGACAACGAGGTAATCACTGCTAGAGCTGAATTGTCTTGGAGGCGACGAAGAGTCGGAAACGCAAGCTGTAAGTCCTGTACTGCGCAAAGTGCTTGAGTCGGCAGAGTATCAGAATGCAGTGAACGTGTAGATGAATCTGACGAAAGAGCAGCTTTCGTGGGCGCCCCTGTAGAACAAGCAGTGCCCTGGCAGCGACGGAGAGTCGGCAGGACAGGCTGTAGATCCCACATTATGTAGTTACTGATGAAGCTGCCAGATGAGTGAGTAGTGATCGTGGAGCAGCAAGCCGTAGTAGATGAAAATGCAGAGACGATCGCGATGAAAATCATAGCTGTGGCGAGGGTGTTGGCAGCGTTCCATCACAGCTAACAGTAGCAGTAGAGGTCCAGTGAGAGTCCATGTTGTAGTCCACCGTGGCTGGGTATCGTCGAAACTTCGTGAAGGTCGAAAATAGCCTCCATCTGCGTGAACCAAAATTCTGGCTCATCTGCGTTGTATGCTGGAAACCTGGTAGATAAATCCATGACGAAGATCTAGTTTGTGACTAGGTGTTCTTTTCACTCACTGGGTCACCAATGTAACGGTTCTATTGTTACGTAAAGTATGGTGACAAATAAACACAGACACTAAGATACAATATATATATTTGGTCGAATATACAGAAGTACACAGGTGATACTTTGGTGTGAGTTGAGCGCACTGAGCGTCGGTACAGTATCTCGCAAGTGTCTGCTCTAGACCACACTTGAAAGTAGACTATGGTTAATGTTTGCTATCCTGCTGCTTATATGCCCGGGCAACGCCTCACCGTGTTGTCCGGGCAACGCCTCACCTCATTCATCTCCAAAGGTTGACAGGAATATTAACAAAGCATTTGGAGCAAGTATATTATTGGGATAATCTACTCGCTACAACCTTGTGGATCCTCACTGAACACTTTGATATTTTCTTCTCCTACCACCCCTATTCTTTTGGTGTGTGTGTATTCTTTCAGTCTTCTTTTCTTAGTCTTTCTTTTCTTTCTACTTCTACTTTCTACACCAAAGCTACTTAGTATTCATATCTCCGCAGTCTCCGTGGTGTAGTGGTAAGACACTCGCCTGGCGTTCCGCGAGCGCTATGTCATGGGTTCGTATCCTGGCCGGGGAGGATTTACTGGGCGCAATTCCTTAACTGTAGCCTCTGTTTAACGCAACAGTAAAATGTGTACTTGGATGAAAAAACGATTCTTCGCGGCAGGGGGTCGTATTCCAGGGACCATATAGGATTAAGGACTTGCCCGAAACGCTACGCGTACTAGTGGCTGTACAAGAATGTAACAACTCTTGTATATATCTCAAAAAAAAAAAAAAAAAAAATATTACATCTCCAAGACTTGTCAGGATGACAGCAGTTTAGTCTAAGCTGCCAAGGATGACAAATGGATAATATGGTGTGTGGCTAAATCGAACAGGGGTATTTTAACAAAATTTCTTTGTTAATTGTAAAGAAAGGTACAAATCAGGGGTGAGGAACCTGCAGCCTTGTATAATGCTTAGTGTGTTCTTCGAAAGAAATTTATATTAATAAAACTTCATTTGAATGTTCCCGCCCAATGTGCCCTTTATGTGTCTTCCGGGATTTGAACCTGGAATTCTCGTTTGTGTATCGAGAATGAGCCCCGACTGTATGAAATGAGTGTTTGTTGTTAGAAAGTGGGAAAGGGGTTTAATAATTTGTGCACAGTGTTATGGATTTCATTTAAGTACACAGGTAAGAAGGATGCCAAATGCTTGTATTGTCTGGGTGAGTTTAGTGTTGATTTTTGAGGTTACTTGTATTTATTTCCTCTTTGCACTTCATTACAATAAGCATGACAGACAAGGTGGCTTATTGTAACCACTTTTATATTCACACTTTTGAGTCCATGTGATAGTAATCCACTTTCATATTTTATAAATTTGTTCCCTTTGATAGGTCCAGGATGACACCACAACAATTACAGCAACACTTGATCGTAAAAATTTTAGTGGTGCTGAAATGGAATCCCTTAATGAAGCATTAATAATTATAAATGAATGGAAGCCAGCATCAGATGTGTAAGTATTCTATACATGTCAGTGGCTTTATAAGAATTAATTCTTTTTCAATATTATCCCTAGATGATGGCTTACGTCAAATGATGAAAAGAGTTCACAAACGATATATGTCATATATTTTGACATATGTTTGTCATATGACTTTTTTCACTATAAAAAATGGGTTTTGCTTATAAAGCCTTATAATTATCAAGATATGACATCTCTAATTTTTTAATATTGTTTTTAATTTTGTAAATATTTGCACATATAATCTACAGAAATGTAATCAATAGTTTATAGACCAGCCTTGATTATATTTCTTAGAATACAGTATAAGATAAAAATAGCTACACACCACTTTATATGTAATATTCTGTTTAATCCTGTGTGCCACTCATTAGAAACAGAGCAATGCAAAAGATGTACAGTGATTACAACACAGCAGTTGCAACATCAGGATCTGCGGGTTGGTACAAGAATTCAACCAACTACGAACCACTTAGTTTGTTGAAAAGGAGCAGTAGAACAACAGAAGTACACTTACATTGCATCAGGCTTGGATACCCATGTGCATGGGCAATAGGCTTACAGGTTCAGGAAGATGAGAGGAAATGTCAGCACTGTGGAGAAATGCCCCGACAGACCACTGGAACATTATCTAACACAGTTACAAACCCATTAAGATTTCAACTTAGATTCAACAGAGCAGAAGTTGTTAAACATATGGGACAAAATCTTACTGAAGCGACCATATGAGTCATAAATACTCATACTCCACCCAAGTAAAACAGAAACAAGCAACACTTAGTGGGCCAGCCAGAGGTTTAGAGCCCATGCAGGAATATCCCTGAAAAAAAAAAAAACTTGTGGGAGATTTTCATGTACCTGTAATGTTCAAAGGTAAAAGATTCTATGTGAACATTGTTCAACACTAGAAACCTCTTGCAATTGTTTGCCATATTGTAACAATCCTGGAAGCTTTAGCTTCCTTTCTGGGAATTAGTAAACAAAAATTGGCATCATGTCAGGCACATCATGACATGCACCTGACATGGTGCCATGCATAAATTCATCTATACCCATGGTAGGAACTTTTTTTTTTTTTTTTTGTAGGGATATTCCTGCGTGGGCTTTAAGCCTCTGGCTGGCCCACTAAGTGTTGCTTGTTTCTGTTTCACATGGGCGGAGTATGAGTATTTATGACTCGTATGGTCGCTTCATAGGAATCATTGATAATGCCTTGCAAAATTTCAAGGACTTCTATGGACCTAGAAGATATTAGTGATGAGAAATCAATTACAAATAGAGTACAGTACTGTAGTTAACATGAAAATTAATTCTCAGAATTTTAATCTTTCAATGTTTCTTCACCTCAATACAGCCAAACTAAAATTGTTAGAATTTTTGTTTATTATTTTCCCTTCATCAGAAATTAATGTTTTTGTATATACATTTTTTTATGCATATCAAGAAATTGACCTAATTTAGGGTGCACAGTTAGGGGGTTAATACTGATTTACATACTAAGATACAGTAATGCTTTTATTTTATGTTGAAGTGTTCTGTACCATATGATACTGTATATTTATATATAAATCAAAGTGTCTTGCAGCATTATACTGTACTGGTATATATTTTTTCTCTCTTATTAAATAAAACAGGAAACATGTAGCATAATAAATACAGTATTTGATTAACACATTTTTATTGCACAGATTTGCACTGAAGAATTATGTGTTTGGATTATCAGCTATCAACAGTTGTACTGCTGCATATATCAACGCTCACTACAGGAAAGCAGTCAAGCTGAGGAGTCAAGCCTTCATTCCTACCCTTATACCTGTGGTGTTCCTGCCTGCCATAGCTGGTTCAGTATTGCACCATCATGTAAGACATTGGGGTTCTTTTTTTTTTATTATTACAGTATTATTATTTACTCAGGAGCAACGAGACTTCATCTTGTTTAAGACTTGATTTCTTATGAGTTAAAATTTTCTGAAGTAGAATGGTATTTTCCAAAGATTGCTATGTAATAGACACTAATTTATAATATTAGATTCATTGTCCTTCCATGATTTAGCCATAAATTGAGTGTATTTGTTGTCCATTTCTGTACTCTGGGATTCGAACCCATAATTCTTGATTATGGGTTCGAATTATAGATTATTGCGAGTCAAGAACGAACACGACTTCTACCGGGACCCTTTTTCATCTGCAATACCTGACCAGTGATCGTGCCAATGGTCATGGATTGTGACATGAATGACTGGGCAGAAATCTGAAACAGGAATCTCTTTATGGGAGAGGGATTGGCATGAATAGCCTTCTTAGCAGCAGCATCCACAAATCCATTTATGGTAGACCCAATATGCCTTTGGGGACTCAGCAAAATTCAATTGTCCAAAATCTGCCCAAAATTAGAAACGACCAGTACTGTACAGTGGAACCTTGGGTAGAGAACGTCCCTCTTTACAAATTTTTCCGGTTACGAAATCAATTTCTTAGGAAAATTTGAATCTGGTTACAAACTTTGCCTCATCTTGTGACTTTGTTGATACACGTATGGGGCGACCGAGCGCATAGTTCCTGGTGGCATGGGCGACCATGCCTCAGTTTACTAATGACGCCTGTGACATTTTGTTTCCGCCTCCACCGGGGATCTAATTTGGAACCTCAGGACTATGACTCTAAAGCGCTGTCTACTCAGCTGTCATGCCCCGACCTGGTGCAGATGTAGTAGTAAGAGTACTTCTTAATGCATCTCTGCATCAAGAGTGCATCACCACTGCATCTCTGGTGCAGTTATTAAGGACATATTTTTGTTGTTTTTATAAAAGTTCAGTTAATTTTAATGTCAAAATGTTTCCAGACTCAACAATTTCCATTTCAAATCACAAAAAGTGATGAAAACATTAAAAAAGACATTAAAATATGACCTAATTAAAAAGAAATTATATAGGCAGTTGTGTTAGTGGGGCGCGAGTTGTCATTATGAAATAAACTTGTAGGAAAAATTCGTAGATGGGGTATGTTTTTTTCTCTCGCCATATTGTGTAATGTATAATTAAAGAATCATATATGTTCAATAATTATTGATAGAGATAATTTCTGCATCCACAGTTTGTTCAGCGCCCATTGCTTCTTCAAAAGTTTCAATGCCCAGTGTGTTTAGAGCTGAGAGGAGGAGCAGTACAGCTGTTTGCTGGCATTTTATATCCACTGGTGCTAGCACCACTTGCTTCATTTCAGGTCAGTGCCACAAAACACAACATTGTAAAAGCATTTGTTGTTGCATATAGTTTCATTTTAATTATACATAATTGTACTGTACTCCAAAATTAACTTGCTGCCCCCTTTTCCATAATGCTTGTTAGGACATTAACTAATAGTATATAATGAAAGGATTGCATTGTTTTATACAAATTTTATGGGAAAATGGTGTCATACTGTACTGAGAGTATAATATGATAATTAGTGACTCTTAAAAACAAGAGGTAGATTGATTGTTCATGAGAGATGGTGAAAGTGGACATAGTGAGACATGATTGGTGATGGGATAAAGAGGTGAAAATTTAACTGAAGAGCAGGACAAAGAGCCGCCATTCACCATCATCCAGGTCACATAATACGACCCTGTCAACAGCATCGACTTAAGATGGTGAGCATCAGTTCAACAATGAATGTGTGTGGCCCTCACTTTGGATCACCTAGAGAGATGGGCGGAGCAGACACCTCCCCTTGTTTTGCATTATTTGGATTCAGATTCAGACACTTTATTTGTAATTACTTTTACAAATCGGCACAATTATAGCTGGACTAAACAGGTGTGTGTAGCAGTTTAAATCACACTTATATTTTTGGTATAAAGTGAGTAACATATAGCTTCAATTTTGAAAGGTGATGTATATTGGAAAAACAAAGTGTAGTTTACCATTAGAGTAGTAAGACAGATATTTACATAATTTATACCACAAAATTAGGGTGAGAAGCTATTCTTGATCAAAAACACTCCAAACACACAGTTCATGCAACATAGATCTGGCATCAATAGGACTCAACATGCCTGTTATTAAGCCATCTCTTTATGACAGTAGTTCCTTTATAATTTCAAATATTGAGTTGGAAGGGTCTTTGCTTTCTCTGCTGATGAGTTGTTTTATTATATCTTGCAGACATGCTGTACCATTATATTCATCACTCATTCTTAAGTTGATATTTCTGGAAAAGTTGAGTGCCTGAAAAACAACAAAAAAGTTGATTGGGTTTGCTGGATGAGTGATTCCCTTCAGACAAAAGGATATCATTCGTTAGGGGATTATTTCATCTAGTGTAGGTGTGAACATCAGGCTAGGTAGGTGATTGCAATGAGTGCAATTAAGTTTACCAAGGTCAGCATTTTGTATGTCCCATAATTCACACTCGTACAAACTTAGACATAGACTTAATAATTTTATAATTATATCTTTTCAATGTACTGTATATACAATATACCATATATATATATCATAAAGATATAAGTTTGCACCAAAGTGCTGCCACATTCCTTGGTATGTCTTACTATATCATCTTTAACTTTTTAAAAAAATTTGCTGATTTCATTGCTTCAAGCCCCTTAAGAATATAATTTATTCCAAGGTTAAAAAGCTCCTTTGATTAACATGGCATGATTTCCAAGTAGTTTTACACTCACAAATTACTTGTCTTTTAATTTTGTATATTACAGTTTGCCACAAGACTGTACACATATGCCCTACCGAGTGTCTTCGAACCAAAAGCACTGTTGAAGGAAGTATTCAGAATGACCCGGCCATTACTTTCAAAGCTTTATATTCTTGCTGGATTACAAGTAAGTTCTGTAATAATATGATAGATGTGTAACTCAGTATATTATTGATCATATGTAATATTCTAGGTTTTAATTTGATTGTATTTAATTACTTTAAAGCCTATTAGGCAACTTTTGCAAAAGAATGAAATCTATTATGGTAAGAATTGCAAACTTTAAACAGTTTGTGATACATTATTTACAGCTTTCTAGTAAATTATTGTTTTAAGATGAAGTACCATATTTTGAATATGGTATGTGTGTGTGTGTGTGTGTGTGTGTGTGTGTGTGTGTGTGTGTGTGTGTGTGTGTGTGTGTGTGTGTGTGTGTGTGTGTGTGTGTGTATGTGTGTGTGTGTATATATATATATATATATATATATATATATATATATATATATATATATATATATATATATATATATATATATATATATATATATATATATATATATATATATATATATATCCACATCCATGTATTGTACTATAGTATCTTCATATTTCATTATTTCCATGTACTTGCTGTTCTATTTTAGACTGACTATATTTCTGTTTTCACATCTTGTGGCTGCAGCTTGTAGAACATTCTTCTAGCATTCCACAACATTTCAGGCTTGCAAAGCAGAGTCTGCTGTGCATTTGCTCTTATAAACACAAATCTCATTTTGAAGCTTCTTGAGTGCCTGGTTAATTTCATTACACATTGCAAAATGGTTCAGGATTCATGAACTCTTGCAAAAAATGTGCATGAATTCACTAACTCGTTAGTGTACATAGTTTGTTGCAACAATTTCACTCGCTGAACATCCAGAATGTTCAACTGAAGACTTTCTTCATTTGTGATGACAATCTCAAATTAAATTTTTAATTATTGAATTTCAGACAAGAAAAACACTTGCTCTCTTCCCTTCCTTCCCAACCACTTGAACTGGACAGTAGAGTGACGGTCTCACTTCATGCAGATCACCGTTCAATCCCCGACTATCCAAGTGATTGGGTACCATTCCTTCCCTTTATCTTATCTCAAATCCTTATCCTGATCCCTTCAAAGTGCTATATAATTTCAATGGCTTAGCACTCTCCCCTGATAGTTTCCTTCTCCCCCCCCCCCTTTCCCTATTTGTGTAAGTTAATCCATTAGTATTTGAACAGTGACACAAGGTTTTCTTGGCTCTGTGCTCCAATAAATTGAATTCAAAATAATATAATGTCCGTGACGTTAAAATGCAGACTTTCCATATTAATATAAGGGAATTTGTATAAATTTCTGTTGGTTTGTGTGTAGGAATTACAGCCCTTTCTATGCATAGTTTCTTCATTTTAGGCAACCAAAAGTAATTGAACCCATTAACATATTCGTAGTCATCATATTTAGTGCAGTGGAACCTCGGTTCTCGTATGCCCCTGTTCTCGTAGTTTTCGGTTCTCATGGTAAATTTCTACGAGAAATTCGATTCGGTAGTCGTAGCTTGCCTCGGTGGTCGTAGTTTGTTTATGCACATACGGGTCCACTGCGAGCATGGCGCTTCTATTTACCAGTGTCTCCCGCCTAGTGATGATCGCGCTTGGATTCTTTGTGAAGAATTTCATTGTTTTTGTGCTTTTTTTGGTTTCTGAACATAAAAGTTATTATATATCACGTCATGGGTTCCAAGAAAGTCAGTGGTAATGTTCAATCTAAGAAAATAGTTGTGAGGATGACGATAGAGGAAAAACAAGAGATCATTCATAGTGAGATAATGTGATGTCTCACTACAGACAAGTGTTAAAATGTAGGGAAAAACAAGTGTCTATAGACAGATTCTTGAATCTGAGCAGATGTGCTGTTTATGTACACCTCAAAAGACATGTTGCTGCTACTGTAAGCAGTCACATCATGAGTAAAGACAAGTGAGCTAGTTCCAGTGGCAGCCAAATGTTTCCAAGTCATAATACTACCTCAACCATGTTTCACAAATGAGATGGTATGGTTTGGAATGTAAACAATTCCTTTCTTTGCCCACACTTTTGTCTTTCATGAGCAGTTTCTTTCTCCACACTTTCCATCATTGATGCAGGTAGGCATGTTTGGGTCCAAGAAGTCTTGTGTAGCTAGGCAGTACTAGAGCTACTGGGTTCCTACCAGTAAAGGGCATTTCACTACATTCAGTGCTTAATCTTTATCCAACCTGTCCTCTTAAAAAGAAGGTCGCTTTTGGCCGTTTGCCCGTATGGCCGAATTTGGACGTAATTTGAAATTGAAAAAAATATGAAAATAAATTTGGGATTTTTTTTTCAACAACAGTAAGTTAAGGGTCCTCTGATAGGTTAGGTGGGCAGGAAATTCTCATAAAGTTTCAAAACGTTATGAAAAACGTTAATTTAAAGTGTCCTCTTATAACCTCTGCGCGTACGCCGGACGGCTCAAATAGAAAACGGAACAGAACGTCACTTTTGTGAGTGGATTTCATTTCAAATTACGTCCAAATTTAGCCATATCGCGCATACGAGCCAAAAGTGACGTTCTTTTTAAGAGGACGGGTTGGTTTATCAGCCCAAGGATATCTTTCTTAATTGCTCTCATGCAATGGAAAGATATCTAGTTGTTCCATTGTGCTTATTATTTTTACTTCTTCTTTCATGTGAAATTGAATGTATGAAGTACTGTACTGTACTGTACAATCTTTAATCCCAATCATATCACCTTGTATATATTGTCAAGCTGAATAATGTTGCGCATTACTAGAATGCATTATCAATATATGGTCCACCTATATGCTAGTCAGTAGGTAAGATTTGCTCCATTCACTCTTCTGCAGCTTTTAATGCAGAATTGTTATTTCTAAAATTTCTTGTACTACTTTTCATGTTTTATATTGTTGATTTGGTTTTGATCAGGTTATAGTTGGCACAGCGTGGACACATTGGGAAGCTCACAACATTTTCACTGTAATGTCAAAACTGTCCAAGATGGAAGAGGCTGTGGCAAGACATCGAAAGGGGTAGACAAATATTTCATATTGATTTTTAAAATGGTCGTGAACTTTGAGAAATGTGAATGATAATTAACTTACGCTTTTATAGTGTGGCTTTATATATTGTGATTTAGCATTAATTCCTGTACAGTGTATGTAAATAAAATTTCTTTGTATGAAGATGGAATTCCTTGTCCTCATCATTCGTATTTGAGCTCCACAACATTCAACCAATATAATATGCTAAACAGTAACTTTGCCAGTTTTTTACCACTAAATTTTCACTTGGTCTTATTTTAATAGTTCCATTCCCCATTACCCTGTCCTTGCAACCACTTAGGTGGTTCTTGGTTCTATAAAAAGTGAATAATATGGAGGTCGCATCTTTCCTTGGCCAATACAGTACATTTAATAGTCATTGCAAGAAAAAATGCATCCCTTATTACTTCCACAATCACCTTTCTGTAGTATAGCCTTTCTATAGCCAACCACCTTTCCATAGTATACATGGTGAAGCCAATCATCTTTCCATAATATTCGAGGTGAAGCCAACTATCTTCCCATAGTGAAGCCAACCTACTTCCATACAGAGTAGACAATGGAATGTTTTAGAAGCCAGGTAAATTACTTAATTGTGCATATCTAACAGGCACTTTATGGAAGGAAAACTAAGATACAAACTTCTTGAGAGTTGAAAAGAAAAACTAACAGTACTGTACTAAAAAAAAAAAGCTCATTACTATACTGAATTTAAAACCTCATTCGCAAGCGAAATATGGTGTGAGGGTCCATAGAGTTTTTTTTTTTTTTTTTTTTTTTTTTTTCTCCATCCTGTGTGATGGGATTTTTAGCGTCACGTAGCTAGTTTTTGACACACTCCGTACTCCCCTTCATATAGTCTAGGGTAGTTGCACAAATGCAGATGTACCTAAATGTGTTAATACAACAAAAATATGTATGACGAGTGCTGTGCTCTAATCAGTAGATGGAATATCTAAGTTGAGCATTGTTATATTCATCCCTGAGAGTATTATCCCAGTATACTATTGGGAATGTACTATCCCGCTGTACCAAGTGTGAAGGGAAATATTCCTTTGTTTTGGAGCAAACCTGTCGATCTGTCGATCGAGTCATCGAACCTATATATACACGCAGCCCGTCCTCCTAAGGTTTCCCAACGTCAAGAAACTGTCGTATTAAAGTGCCCTTATTCTAGCCTACCAGAGGTGCCCAAAACGGAAAACGGGACATTACGTCAATTTCGCGAGCCGCTACTATTTTCTAGTATGACAATTTTTGGCCTTAAGTAGAGTATACGTCAAAATGCGACGCTCTTATTTAGAGGACAAGTTGATATCGTATATTTTCTTTTTTTCTTCATACACATTCTTTTCCTCCATATAAATGCAGACATACAAATTTCAAGCATAAAAGTTTGTGAAGTGTTGGATAGATTTAAATATAGTACATTTTTAAAGGATTCAAGACAAGATGCATATATATACCGGCATGAACTCCAAGATGTTGATACATTGTGGAAATAACATATGATTGGATATGACATGAAAAATGATTATATACAAAAAGTAGTGCCAGGTTCCAGTTACGAACATGTGATTGGGAGTGCGCTCGTATGTGTCACAGTTTGAATGTGATTGTGAAGCCTTTCTAACTGTTCGACTGGGCTCCATCTGGCACAGCCCTGAGTGGATGAGCTCGGTATACAGGTGCACACCAGATGTGGGTGAAGGTTCCTTCCCGAGGGGAGCGCCCTCACAGGTGTTCTCCCCCCGCACCTCTCCACAGGTGTACACTCCACAGATGGGCATCAGACACAGTCACCGCCCTACAAACAGGTTGCGGGCGGTGCCTGCAAATTGCTGTATTACGTATTATTAAATAGTATAATGCCAACTGAGTCGAAACGATTAAAGAAAAAAACTCCCCTCCTCCACTACGATCACCTTCTGTGGTTGTTCAATAAATCTCTGAACTGTATGTTTGACAAATCTCTCACCCTGTCCATGGAGGACAGAAGAAAATGTATATATGCTGGTTAGCATTGTAAATGTGTGGCCACGTCTGTGGTAGAAAATAATAATAATAAAATTCCCGGTGCAGAGGAAATCTTTTGCTGGCATAATTTAGCCTTCAGTGCTAGGAGAACATTACCCGTGAAAAGACCTATATAGATTTTAATGCTTTTGAAGTAAAGACGTTGGTTATAACAGTACTTACGTTAGTCGACGTTGTTCAACATAAAAATCAATGGTTGTCTGAAGCCTAATATAACATTTCAGATTTATGATACAAAGAAAGGCTTAATCAGAGCCAAATTAAGTAATTTCAATGTGACTGAACAAATAACAATATGAGGACGAAATTGTGTACATTGTTACAGGTTTTCATTGATTTATATTGTCTGAAAGCATTTTAACAAATTTGACGTTAACAGAAGTATATAAGCGAGTTATATTTTGTTTGATGTACAACTGGTGCAAGATATATATGGAATTCTGGTATTATTGGGTTGGCCGGGGGGGGGGGGGGACCAGGAAGCATTAGGCTTACCGAGGTCCCAGCTGTAGCCATCGCAACGGCTGTACGCTCGGTCACCAAACCAATTGCTGGCCAGACCTAATCATGCTTAACCTAACAGTGATTCACATTTAATATATAAATTTGTTTTAAATGGTTAGGGTGAATATTGATTTATAGGAGGATCTTTACCTGTATGAAATGGAGATATTGTAACAACCAACATGCATGATAAGTTCCTGAGATATGCACAGTATATTAATAACTAATAATAATTATACATTTATATTAAAATTCGCAGTTCGTGCCTCAGTTTATTCAAAGAGGTGAGGATGATTCGGAGTATATATATGACATGTCTTAACGACAACCTCACCCGTCTTGGAGTATCTCGCGCGAGTAAAGTATTCCTTTAGGAGAGGGAGTAGGGGGAACTACTGAAGGGTGAAGTGAGAACTACTGAAGGGAGTAGGGTGAAGTGAGTACTCGGTACTAAACGTACTGTTATCACGTTATCATATTCAGGTGTAATCATACTCATGTGGTATTATATTCAGGTGTTATAAGGCTCAGGTGTAATCATGCTCAGGCGTTATTATATTCTGGTGTTATAATGGTCTGATGTTATTATATTTTGGAATTATCATGCTAAAATGCTATCATATTCTGATGTTATAATACTCATGTGTTATAATACTCATAATGTTCTATTCAGGTGTTATAATACTCATATGTGATATTCAGGTGTTCTCGTTACCATATTTGGCCCTCATCTATAGTACTCGCCTAATTACACTTCCTCATTGGGCATGCTGGACTTAGCTCTTGGGCCCAGCATTGCTAGTCGTCTACAAGCTAATGCAATGGTTCCAGACTACCTTTTTATTTAGCTCATTCCAGTTTTTTACAACTTTTATACTCAACAAATGTTTCTGTACATCCTTATGTTTGGCTTATCTAATCTCTTAGTTTCAGGCCAGTTTATCCTTGTCTACTTCCTAATACTCCCAAGGATCTTATCTATCGTCCTTCCTATAAACAAAGAGAACAATCCACATGTTTATGAATGAACAACACCACAACTGGGTCAACTAACTCACAGCTGTTGATGAGGACGGGTTGCACAACTAATTATAGTTGAACTTTCTGTTCGAATCGCACGCTCTAAAATCTATGCTTCATCTATGTACAGATAATTGTCAACGGAAACAAAATATGATCTAACCTTTCCTAGGCTTTATTATACATACAATTTGAATAAGCATTACTTTTTAAGTACCTGCGGGCTCACCATAGCCCGTGCTACTTGGAACTTTGTTCCAGGTAGCGAAATCTTAAACAACAACAACAAACAGCATTACTTTAAACTTATATTGCATATAATATATTTTTTTGGTTACACACACAACGCTAAACTGAACGAAAACGGCTCTTGTGTGTGTGGGTGGCAGCCTTGGCCAACAGGGCGTGAGGCATCCTCAGGCTGTGTTCGTCCAAACTACGTCATTTTGCCGCTCAATCTTGTTCATTATTCTATTACACTATTTGTGAACTTGCTCCTTAACCCCCTCGGGTTCCGGTGTATATATATATAATCTGGAAGTCACGTATGTTGCCTGCATTACTTCACTGTCGGCTCTCTTTTTATTTCTTCACTTTCCAAAAGCTGAAGTTCTCACATTTTTTAACTCCTTTTTGGCCAGTTAGTATCCACCTGTGTACCCTTGTTCTTGTCTCTCTATTGTTAACCGGTCTAACTTTCTCTATTTTCTAAGTTTTGATCATATCTGCTCAGTTTTCTTTCCTTCGTCGAAATGAAGTTCAATTTTATTTAGTATGTTCTCGTAATTATGATTTATCTCAGTTCAAGGGTTCAACTTTGATCTAGGGTCTCAATCTTAGTACAGTTGACTTCGTTTTCAACTTACAATCAGGGGTCCCGGGTTCGATTCCCGAGCGGGACAGAAATGGTTGGGCGTGTTAACTTTCACCTAAGCGGGGAGCGTTAACTTTTCACTGATGCTATTCTTCTTTCACCTAATGCCTTTGTTCACCTAGCATGCTAACAGGTATCCGGGAGTTATGCCACTATTGTGGGGTTACATCTTGGGAATGGTCAGCGGTTCTGAGACAATTCTGTATCTAATCCTGGTGTCTGTTGGCCGCGTTCTTGCTACTTGTTCAGCCAGTCCTCTCCAGCGCTCACAACGTCACCAGAATGATGTACTACATTGCCCGAACCTAACCTAACCGAGGACCCACGAATAGAAAACGGGACATCACGTCAATTTTTGCGAGCCGGTATGATTTTTAATACACCTTACATTGACGCTGGGGAGTTATACGTCAACATACGATGTGTTAGGGGTGCTAACAAGTTGTTAGTTCCTTGGTATTAATAAATAAATCTACAGTAATTTAGATTAAGTTAAACTACATAACTGGAAATGTACTAATAAATATAATTATTGATTGCATGACGAGTGCAAAGTTATGTTTTTTTAGGCATTAGCAGTTTTACTGGTTGAGGCCGGGCTGTCCTCTCGAATAATACATCGCATTTTGACGTATAAATCCACAACGGCCAATATGTGATGCACTATAAATCACAGCGGCTCGCTAAAATTGACAGGCTGTTGCGT